TCAATTCAAGCCTGAAGGGTGACTAGGGGCCATAGTCTTGGGGTTTCACCAATCTCTGCCAGACAAAGCCTAGTCTTTTTTATGATTTTAAGTTTTGTTCCACATTTTTCTCCTACTGTATCCAGGATCTCCTGCACTGATCCTTCTCTGAGTAGCTGACAGTGGTAGCTAGGCATCATGTAGTTCTTCTGGTCTCGTGGTCATGTAGGTTGAGGTTCTCATGGCCCACTAGGCCCTTGGACTAGTTGTCTCCATGTATCTTTGTCTTTCTTCATTCTTTTTTGCTTCAGAAGAGTAGAGATCAATTGTTGCATCTAGATGGCCACTTGCCAGCTTTTTAGACCCCAGTAGCTACTCACCAAAGTAGGATGTAGAACAGTGTTTTTGTGTAGTGTGTTATGCCAATTGAATTTGATGTCCTCCGCTACTGTGGTCCCAACCAAGCCTACAGCTCGCTCCCTCAGGGTGTTTGACTGAGGCTAAGAAGTTATCATAACTTTGCCCTCCGTTAGTTCTATTTACATGTACATTCTTATAGCACACACAAATATGTATGCAGAAATATCATCTGCCAACCTTATATATGATCATGATTATAGTCTCTTTTGCCTAGACATACCTGATCATTCAGCCTGTCTACTTACATATCTACCCATACATTAGCATTTGTTAATATTGATAATGCAGTATTTTATACGAAAAAAAGTGTTAATCTTTGTTGTCTGTACCTCTTGCGCACCTCTCTGTGTCTCCCATTTTGTTAGTGTTATTGTGATGGTCATTCACTTTTCATATATTGCCTTTCCTTTCACCCAAATCAATATTTGTCTCTTACCTATCTAGCAATTTTTCCTCCCCGTCCCTCCCATCCCTGGTTGCCAGCAAAGAAAGTTTCCTTCTACATATAAACCTTTTCTTGACTTTCTATAATAGAGGACTAATACATTATTTGTCCTTCTGTGATTGACTTATTTCATTCAGTATAATGAAATAAGTGAGGTGTTTCAAGGATTCTGCATTATTCTTTAGTGTTGCATCATGTTCTTTTATCCATCTGGAATTACTTTTTGTGTATGGTGTGAGGTATGGACCTTTTTATTTTTCTGCAAATGGATGTCCAGTTTTGCCAGCATCATTTGTGAGAGAGATTATCTTTTCCCTGTTTAATGGATGTTGTGTGTATTTACCATAGCTTGGTTATCCATTCCTCTGTTGATGGCAGTTAGGTTGTTTCCATCTCTTTGCTATTGTGAATAGTGCTGTGAAGACCATGGATGTGCATATATCTATTCATACCCTGGTTCTTACTTCTTTAAAATATATACCTAGTAATGGAATTGCTGGATCAAATGCTATTTCTATTTCCAACCATACCAGTTTCCACAGTGGTTGTATCATTTTATAGTTCCAGCAACAGTGTATGAAAATCACAGTCTCTCCATATCCTAGCCAGCATTTGCTTATTTTGTCTCTTGTTGAACTTTACTATTAGTGCAGAGTTGAGATGGTATCTTGTTGTTTTGGTTGACACCTCTCTAATGGCTAATGATTGTGAATGTTTTGTCATGTGTTTGTGGCTGCCTAAGCCACAACACAAAAAATATCTTCTTTGGTGAGGTGTCTGTTCATGTCTTTTGCCCATTTTGTAATTAGAGTCTTTGTCCTCTTGAGGTTGAGGTGTTGGAGTTTTCTACACATTTTAGAGATGAGTCCTTTGTCCAATATGTCATTGCCAAATTATTTTCCCATCCTATAGGTTCTCTTTTTACTCTTTTGGAGAAGTCTTTTGAAGCACATAAGAATTTAATTTTTAGAAGATCCCAATCATTTAGTTTATCTGGGACTGTGTATTTTGGTTTATGCTTGATAGTCTATTTATGCCATAAATCAGGGCCTCTGAGTTTGTTCCTGTTTTTTCTTTGATGAACTTTACAGGTTTAGGTTTCACATTTAAGTCTTTGATCCATCTGGTATTAGTTTTTGTGTATGGTGTGAGGTATGGATCTTCTTTATTTTTCTGCAAATGGATGTCCAGTTTTGCCAGCATCATTTGTGAAAGAGACTATCTTTTCCCCATTTAATGGATGTTGGGTTTTTGTCAAAGATCAGCTGACCATAGGTCAGTGGATCCATTCCTGGGTTCTCAATTATGTTCCACTGGTCTGTGTATCTATTGTTGTACCAATATCAGCATATTTTGACTACTGTGGCTGTATAGTAGGTTTTGAGGTCTGGGAGTGTGAGACCTCCTACTTTGTTCTTCTTCTTGAGCAGTGCTTTGCTTATTTGAGGTCTCTTTCCTCTTCATATAAAATTAGTGATTCGTTTTTCCATGTCCTTAAAGAGTGTTGATGGAATCTTTATCACGATTGCATTATATGTGTAGATAACTTTGGGTGGTACTGACATTTTCACAGTATTCAATCTTCATATCCATGAGTACGGTATGTTCTTCCATTTATGTAGACCTCTTATAGTTTCTTGAAGTAGTGTTTTGTAGTTTTCTTTATATAGGTCTTTTGTGTCCTTCATAAGATTTATTCCCAAGTATTTTACCTTTTTGGTAGCTATTGTAAATGGTATTGATTTCGTTATTTCCTTTTCAGAGATCTCTTTGTGGGCATAGAGGAATCCAACTGATTTTTTATGTTTATCTTATATCTGTCCACTATGATTAATCTTTTGAATATTCCAGTAGTTTTCTTTCTGAGTCTCTTGGGTTTTCCATGTATTGGATCTTATCATCCATACATAGGGATAGTTTTACTTCTTCCTTACCAGTTTAGATGCCTTTGTTTTACCTTTCTTGCCTTATTGCCCTGGCTAGGACTTGGCATTTGACAGCTAACCAGAAGGCTGGTGGTTCAAACCCACCAGCCACTCCTTGGAAGGAATGATGGGCAATCTACTTCCATAGTGATACCACCTCAGAAACCCAAGGAAGGGTCGCTATGAGTCAGATATGACTCTACAGCAGTGGGTTTGGTTTGGTTTTTAGGACTTCCAGTACCGTGTTGAATAGAAGTGGTGATAGAGGGCATCCTTGTCTGGTTCCTGTTCATAAGGGGAATTTTTTCAGTCTCTTTCCATTGAGAATAATGTTGGCTGTTGGTATTGCGTATGTGCCTTTATTACATTGAGGAATTTCTCTTCTATTCCTATTTTTCTGAGAGTTTTTATCAGGAATAGGTGTTGGATTTTATCAAATGCCTTTTCTGCATCAATTGATGTGATTATGTGGTTCATTTCCTTCGTTTTATTTATGTGATGGATGACATTGATTGTGTGTCTAATGTTGAACCATCCTTGCGTACCTTGTATGAACCCCACCTGGTCAAATGTATTATTTTTTTGATAAGTTTTTGAAGTCTATTGGCTAGGATTTTATTGAAGATTTTTGCGTCTATATTCATGAGGGGTATAAGCAAAAAAAAAAAAAAAACTCATTGCTGTCAAGGCAGATCTGACTCATAGTAACCCCTCCTTGGATTTCCAAGCCGGTATCACTAAAAGTAGATTGCCCAACCTGCCTTCTGAGGAGTGGCTGGTGGCTTTGAACTGCCAACCTTCTGGTTAGCAGTCAAATGCCTTAGGCACTATACCACCAGAGTTCCCATGAGGGGTATAGGTCTGTAGTTTTCTGTTTTAGTGGTGTCTTTGCCTGGTTTTCGTATCAGGGTTATGCTTGTTTCATAAATGAATTTAGGAGGATTCCATCCTTCTTCTATGTTCTTTAATAGTTTGAGTAGGATTAGTGTCAGCTCTTCTCTAAATGTTTGGTAGAATTCTCCAGTGAAACCATCTGGGCCAAGACTTTTTTGTATGTGTTGGTAATTTTTTATGACCCATTCAATTTCTTCTTTTGTTATGGATCTATTCAAATTTTTACCTCAATTTTTGTTACTTTAGGGAAGTAGTATATTTCTAGAAATCAGTTCAGATTGATTTTGTTTGTTTGTTTTTCTGTTCTCTCCCTGGAAATTTTCTTTTTGCTACTTTCATATAGAGGTTCTTATCCTACCAAACCAATCCTATTTGCTTTTGACAAAAAACAAAACGCACAGAGAAAGACAAGATATTAATGTAGATGGGGCAAACTACTTCCATAGCGATACTGCCTCAGAAACCCAAGGAGGGGTTCCTATGAGTCAGGGCCAACTCGAGGGCACATAACAACAACAACAACAACATATATTTGTTGTCAGTAGATATTATTTGAATTGGGCAGCATCAACCAAAAGGTGTCAGGAATGTGCACTGAAGAGGGCGTAGAGAAAACAAGTTATATAGTTGGAGTTGGGGCAGGGTTGTGTCCAGAAGATCATTGTAATTCTTCCCAAGAGCCCAATGCCTAAGGCAAAAACCATCTCCACTAAGCTGCTTACAAGACTATTGTTTGACTTGTAGTTGAGTTTAGGAAAACAGTTCCTTATAGCCTCAAATTTCAAAAGGACACCTAGGACAGATGACATGGGTGGGTCATTCTAATTCCATGGACCCAGAAATTTGGATTCCAGGAGAATTAAAATTATTTCTCACTTTTTATCCAGAAATTTCTATCAGTCGATCTGCTATGAGATTATTTGCTGGTTTCCAGTGCTATTAAAAATCTGTTCCTTTACTTACATTCTTTTGCTTAATTGTCAGCCATTTTGACCTAAATTTCCTATTTTAGTTCTATTATTTCATTTATTTCCTTTCAAAAAATGAATGTTCTTTTTCTTACTAAGTAATGCGTAGTGTCTGTAGAACATTTAGAAAATGTGATTGGACAAGATAAAGAATGTTTTTTTTTTTTAAGACAGAACACCATATGGTTTTGTAAGTATCAAATATACCAATTTTGCAATAAGGATCCTTCAGTAAAGAAAGAATATTTGTATCTTAATTTTAGTAGAGCCATTGCCACACATATCTAAATATGTATACATAGTGGAATACACAGACATACTAGAAAATGTGTGCTGGAATAAGAATGGTTCTTTTATTTTTCTATTTAGCCCAGTGATGCACTCAACAGTATTACTCTGTCAGATGGGTCCCGGGATGAAGAAAGAAGATTGGCAGATCCCCGGAGTGGTTCCATGGTAAGTCAACACAGGACAACTAAAAGTGGGAAGGAGAGAGGAAACTAATTTTTCAAGACAGATAACAATAACTTGGAAATACTATCAGAACTAAAATTGCAGGGAAACTGTACTTCCAATAGATCTATCACTCATAATAATTAGGAAGAAGGAGACAAACTTAACAATGAATAGATTCTCAATTTAAAAGAGAACTCTGTGTGTTAGTACTACTTTGCCCACAAACCCCAAAAAATGTTCTTTACATATTTCAAGTGTGGAGGTATTTGTTAACTATGGTTGCCTTGACTGACTGACTGACTGAGCTTATACACAGAACACCAGAGGTTTGATGGTCTACTCTGCAACCTTTTACCTACAGAATAAATGACAAACCACTCATTCTACTTCCTGTACCAGCCTCAGCTCTTACTTCTCCCCTGCACAAAGCCTTCAGACACATTCACTTACTTGACCTTTAGTAACTTCTGTTGCTTTTACTTTGTTCAAAGTTTGTCAGTTCCCCTCTCGTTCTTAAACTGGGAACCCTCACTCTGTGTTTCTGTCTATCACAATCCCATAGTTCAGGTGTCATGGCAGAGAGTGGTAGGGTGGACTAAAAACAGCAAGAGAAGACCCCATAAGATGAGATGGTGGTTCTCCGAAAGCAGACTCATGGAAAGCAGCAGATAGCACAGCAGACACGCAGATGGAGGTAGCACATTGACATATTCCTTGGAGGCAGTTGATTTTCAACCATTGTCTATTCTGAGAAACTGGAGAGCTGACATTTACCACTGTGGCACACTCCCAGGACCAAGTCATTGTTCAGGAGGTGATGCTATCGCTCCAAGTAAGCTAGTTTCTGTTATGCTTTTAGTATTTGGGTAATAGAGTTTTGTTTGGTTGCATAGTGAACATATAAGAAACACAAAGTAAGTTGAGTGACTGTTCTCAATGAGTTACTTTTATCAATACTGCTACAGGTGATGGCGTAGATAGGCTGAGGGTATGCACAATTTCTGTCCTGCTTGCTGTAAATCTAACCCTTTGAAGGCAGTTCATTGGAGTGCAAATGACTTGAGAATATCTCTAATTTAAAGGTAATCTCTAAACACCCCACTTGTTTACAGAACAGAATAAGTCATTCACAAACTCTGGTACAGAGTGAAGTAAGGAATTATTTGCAACAGATCCGACACTGCTGAACTGTTGTGGGGCACTCCTGCCCAGGATCCTTTATTTTCGGTCTCAGCTGGTGGCCTTAATTGTCAGCATCAGCTCTGTCCACCCTCTCGCCTCTTCATACCCCACTACTGAGGCCAATGAATTTTATCATGCTAGTGGTTCTAGGATGTTTTTATTCTCTCTTTTCCTACAAACTCTGTCTTAGAAGAGAAATTCATCTTCCTCTTTCTGCATTGCTGACTAGCCACCTAAATGATCCCAGACTTTCGCTATAAATCCTCCCCACAGCGGCAAGTCATCAATCTAAAATACAAGGGTTGCGTAAAACCCTTGGTGGTTCCCAAACACCTAGTCATCATAAAGCCTTGTGACATGGCTCACAAGATCTTTCTTGTCTGCCTCTCTAGATGAACTTCCCCCACACCCAGCATTTTATACAAGCCATCAACAAATAACTGCACGTGGTTCCATGTTTGTACCCAGAAGACTTGAAGCAAAAAAGTTGCAAGATTGGGTTGCCAAAGAAGAGAGTGGGTAGACCTTATTCTCTAAGATTCTTCATAGCATTTCCATAGCCACAATTTTATTCCTTATAAGACTGATACAGTCATATTTTCCACTTTCTTTTTTTCTGTTAAATTTTCCATATCATTGATTCATTCATTTGTTAAGCAAATCCTTATTGAGCATGTAACTAGGATTGTTGAAAGTTTGGGGCGTGTTATGAAATAATTCATAGAGAAAGAAAGGGATATATTGCATATCACTCAGATTTCCTGTGTCTGTGTGTGTCTGTGTGTGTGTGTCTGTGTTTTGTTGGTTTCTTGTTTTATTTTGTTTTCCTAAAACCTGATTCAAATGCCAATGACATAAATAAAAGTTTCAGTAGTGGTGGATCAAAAAAAACTGCATTGGCACTAATCTCCAACCTGAGTTACTTCGGATTGTTTATTACTCAATATCTTTACTTAGAAATGTTAATCAAAATGTCTAGATGCTAAAGTATCTCACTCATGCCAGTTGTTTTAGTTACCTAGTGCTGCTGTGACAGGAATATACCACAAATGGGACAGCTTGAACAAACAGGAGTTTATTCTCTTACAGTTTTGGAGGCTTTAAGTCCAAGTTCAAAGTGCCAGGCTCTAGGGGCTAGGTTAAAGCCCCTCAAACTTGGGCTTCAGCTCTGCCTCCTACTCCCAACCCACTGAAGCTGGAGGCTTTTCTTCATTCCGACAGCTGCTGGCTGCTGAGGCTGACAAGTCCATGATTGACAGGTAAAAAGGCACAGTCACAATGTTACCAAACAACATGGTAGGCCACTAATTCAAGTCCAGATAAGGCCCCAAGATCGGCAGGGCATGGCAGACTATTGAACAACAACTTGGCTACATACAGGGTTCAAACGTACCAAAAGGTTAGAGGCCATTCCCAAAGCTGTTTCTTATGTACGGGAAGCAGACCATATCCCTAAAGCAGCTACTTAGCTGCTTGTGGTAGATCCCACCATGGAGTTGATTGCCAGTCTCATCATGGGGAATAACTATCAAGAGCTGCCCAGCCACTCAACCAGGCCCAGCCAAGTTGACACAGAACCTTAACTACCACACCAGTGTAACACTTATAGCTCCTGTACTGAAGTATTCTAGAGCTTCTTACTGTTGGAAGTCCCTAGGTGGTGAAAACAGTTAAGTACTCATCTGCTAATCAATAGTTGGTGGTTTGAATCCACCCACAGGCACCTCACAAGAAAGGATTGGTTGTCTACTTCTGAAAAAGTAGCCACTGAAAACACTGTGGAGCACAACTTATTCTGACACACATAGGTCTCTCTGAGTTAGAACTGACTCAACAGCAACTGGTTTGGTTTAGGTTTCTTACCATGAAATAAATAAATTTTGAGTTCCATGCCTCTTACTTATCATGAGTACAGATATCCCCATTTGGTGCCTGAGTCTCTTGTAGATCATGTAATGTTCAGTAATTCAGTAAAAGTGTGGCAAGGGCTCTGGCTTCTGGGGTCCTGGCTGTAACAGCTGTAGTGGTAAAATCTAGCCTGCAAGGGTAAAACCCTAGAGACACTTTACTGTGTCACATTCAAGACTTCTTAAGAGGACACCAAACCCTTTCTCCCTATTAGAATATATGTTGTGAAATAGTATAAAGAAGTAGATAACCTAACTTTATCTTTTCCAAAAAGATAACCATGGCTGGACTGATACCTTTCTTTTTTTCTTTCATCTTTTCTACATGATTAAAATGCCCTCTTTATTATAAGTGAAATCCTCTTGTATATATGTCTTAATTATAACTTGATCAGTGATTGTTGAAATCTACTAGAGTAAGTTCTCATTCATTGTTCTGTATCAAAATTGTCCTTCCTCTTCTCAGAAATTGTTTCTTCAAATGAACTTAGAATCAGTTTATAACCAACCAATCTATTGAATTGTGTCCCCCCCAAAATATGTGTCAACTTGGTTGGGTCATGATTGTCAGTGTTTTGGCAGTTATAAAATGATGCAGTTTGGAAGTTATATGATGGTGTAATCATGCTCCATGATGTGATCTGATGTGATGAGCCAATAAATTGTAGGAAGATTAGGGTGAAATGCAGCACCCTTACTTGGATCACAGCCCTGAACTGACATGAGGAGCATTTGGCCTGCATCACCTTTATCTTAGAAGAAATAAAAGGAGAGAGAAATGAGCAAAGAGTGACCTCAGTATTATCAAGGAGGAAGAGGCAGGAGCAGAGCCCATCCTTTGGACCTGGGGTCTCTGCAATGAGAACCTCCTAGACCCAGGGGAAGTTTGATGCCAAGACACGTGGAGATCTCCAAGGGATGCCAGGCCCTTTCAGATGCTGAAAGGAGAAAAGGACCTTCCACAAGACCCAACAGAGAAGGAAAGCTTGCCATAGTGCTAGCACCTTGAATTCAGAATCCTACTCTCCTAAACTGTGAGAAAATGAATTTATTTGTTAAAGCCACCCACTTGTAGTATTTCTGTTACAGCAGCAGCAAATAACTTAGACATCACCAAGACAAAAATATTTTTAGGACTTTATTAAGAATGCTAGTGAATTGGAAGATCAGTGTTGGGGAGGGGTTTCACATGTTAAAATATTGAGACTTCCCAATGAGAAACAATACTTGTTTCTTTCCATTTATTTATATTTTCTTCTGCCTTTCGGTTACATTCTATATTTCTCTAGGTCTTACAAAGGAGCTCTGGTGGTATAGTGCCTAAGGCATTTGACTGCTTACCAGAAGGCTGACAGTTCAAAATATTTTTCATTGGTTAGTTGCTAAGAATTTATATTTTTTCATTTCCTATTTCTTTTTCTTTTCTTTTTTTTAAGTAGCAGGGCGTTTTAAAATGGATTTTCTAGCTTGTTTTTGTGGATATAAAGAAAAATTATTTTTTTTCTGTTCACCACAATGTCTCATGTAGCTTCCTTACTGATTTTTTTTTTTCAATTCTAAGAGTTTTTCATTTTATTATGTAATTTTTCAGTTATATGCAAACATGAAAGATTTTGATTTATTCAAGCACTAAAATAAATTATGCATCTTATTTATTTATTTGTTTAGTCTTAATGGACTGACCACAATCACTTGTAACATTGAATAATTCTGGACATCCTTTGATATGTTCTTGATTTTCTCATGAATTCTTCTAATGCTTCATCATTCAGTGGAATATTTTTTCTAGGGTTCTGAATGATTTTTTTTTTTTTAATCAGGAATGCAGTTTGAATTATACAAAGTTGTTGTTAAGCATCTATTAAAATGAATTATTTTTCTTCTTTCATCAGTTACTTCTGGAAATTATGTTGGCAGGTTTTTCTGATGTTAAACTATCATTTCATTGCTGGAATACAACCTGCTTGTGTTATATTACTATTTTATTATGCTGCAAAATTTGATTCATTGCTACTATAACATTGTTAACCTTTATTTTAGTAAATGAGAATGGCCTATATGTATTTTTGTTTTGTTTTGTTTCTAATTTTGTTACCAGGGTTATACTAGTATTTGTACAAATATATTTAATATTTTGAATCTTTTTTAGTATTACAGAGTCATTTATTAAATTATGGAGTAAATATATAATATATAATTTTGTGATATTATTTGGTTATGAAACCCTCAAAACTGATATCCTTGTGAACAGTAAGCTTTGGCTAATTTTTCAGTGAGTATAGTTCAGAGGTTATATTATTTTTGATTCCTACATGTATGAATTTTAGTAATGTATATTTGTTATACCAAAACAACTAATTGACTTAGAATTCTTATTATTTCTAAATGTGTTGCACTTTTATCAGTGAATGTGGTTTATTTAAGCTCATCTTTGGGGAATTTGAAGCAGTATGGTTGCAAGATACGGATCTTAGGGGCAGAAGAAGTAGGAACCCAATTGTCTCTATTGACTTCAGCGTAGCCTTCATTCCCTAGAGCTATAACAGATTCAAACCCCAAGGAAAGCCAGGCAGAGGTCAAAAGCATCTTCTGAGTCAATGAATTTCCTCTGTAAGTGTGAAGAGAGTATAGGCATTGTTTGGCATGGTGTCTATTTAACGTGCAGGAAATAGAAAATTCTAGTATAAGTCAATGGCACATAACAACAAGTCTAATTTTCACAGAAACTAAAACAGCCAATACTAATGCTTTATAGTAAAAATTTTAAAATAACAACCCCTTAGCTCCCATACCCTTCTGTCCAATCAGAGCTGGGTATAACATGGACAGCAGAGCAATTTTTGGTGGAAGACACTGCCTTTGACTTGCTGCTAGTGGACAATTCTGTGGTTGGGCAAATTAGGAGAAATGGATCTACGGTTTTACAAACAAGTCAGACTGTTTTAATGGGTATGGCCTTTATATTTGAAATAAGCTAAGAGAGCTAATTAAAATGCAAAATTATACTACTCTGGTGAATGGATCCTTTAAAAGTATATGACAAACATCTAGCCTTTCACTCAGTCTCTACTTCCAAAGTCAAGTTCTGTCACAGACTGATCTACCTCTTTCACTTCCACCAGTCATTCCCATGCTTTAACAAGTGAGTGTTCTTCTGTTTGCTTATTTATTTATTTAAAAAAAAGCCAAACCAAACTCACTGCCATCGAGTTGTTTCTGACTAATAGCAATCCCCGCTGGGTTTCTGAGGCTGTAGGTCTTTATGTAAATAGATCACCCAGTCTTCCTTCTGTGGAGCAGCTGGTGGGTTTGAACTGCTGACCTTCTGGTTAGCTGTCAAGTGCCTTTTCCACTACGCCGTCAGAAATGCCTATGATTAGTCTCAACTCCCTACCAGGCTTTCAAAGCCTTCCATAATTTGAGATGGCACTCTTGGTATCCTCCTCCTATTTTTCTATTGCCTTTCCACACCTCCTGGGAAACCAGTTGCTGGTTCCCTAAAAAGGTCCAAACTCACTTCTGTGGAGTCGGAGCCAACTCATAGTGACCCCTCCTTGGGTTTCCGAGGTGGTATCACTATGGAAGTAGATTGTCCAACCTTCCTGGGGTAGCTGAAATCCTTTAGATATCTCCATACTTGAAATTTCTACTTCCATTTCTGGCCTGTAGTTTTGCCTTTTTCCTCTGTCCAAGTTCTGCTCATCATTCCTTAAGTTCTAGCTCAAGTTCAGCCACCTCTTAAGTGAAAACATTCTTGATGACACTCTTTTCCTCTCCATTGTTTTCCAATAACTCTTACAGTTTATAATATAGGAATTAGCTCTTAATGTTCTCTAAGTGTTAATTCTGTTCTCCTCTGTTACAATATAAGTAGCTCAAGTGGAGGGAATCTTGACTCAGGCTTCTGCTTCCCCCAAGAAAGTCCTAGATGCTTTACCTTACCAAAAGCAGACACTCATTCAATACAATAGGTTGGCTATGGGCTGGTCAGTTAAACTAATTCTCATATGTACTCTACTCCATGCGATAGACAAAGAATTTGACATTCAGTACGTTTAAGTACTGCAAACTGTCAGCTCCAAGTCCTAAATAAACAGTACATCTCTCATTTTTAAAAAGTTTTCTCTCCCATAATTGAGTCTGATGAAGCATTTCTTTGGTGAAAAACTTAAGGAAAGCACTGAAAACCCATCACCACCATTTTAGGATTTTACTGTATAAATAACCTTTACTCTGCAGTGGTAGTTTTTAGAGTCACTAAAATCCAACTGACAAGGAACTGCATGGCTCTAGACCTTTTTTGTTTCTCATTCATCCACCAACTACAGGGATTAAGTACTTTTGTTCTAGGAATTGGCCATAAATTCACATTCTGTTTACACATTAGCAGTCTCAGCTCCTTTAAAACAAAGTAAGATGAGAAAAAGCACATAAGGCTCAGATCTGAGACTTTCTTGTGCAATTCGTAACACATGGTAAAGAATCTCTCATGAAACAGGTGTTTTGTTATTCTAAATAAATATGAGAATAACAGAAACAGAAGGCTCTGGGAAAATGGAACTCTAGCCTCAAATGAAAGAACAGATTTTACACGTGAATAGCACATAAAAAATTCTTGAGGAATAACAAATTTTCACCTTCACATGTATTCACAGATAATAGCTCCCTCCTTGATATTTGTTTTGGTAGCTCTGGTAGGATTTTCACTTAAATTTACTAGTCCTATCCAAGTCAGAGCTGTGCTGGGCTCTCCAAAGATGGAGAGTCAACTTCTGGTTAATATTGCAGGCAGTTCATTGCTTTGGCAGGATCTCATTGACAAGGGTACCAAATCAATTACAAGTGGTAACTACTCTGTATTTTGTGGTGAAGGGAGCAATATAATAGTATTATAAAGTTAATAGTAACTAACTTCCCTGCTAACCAGAGGGCTGGCGGTTCAAACCCACCAGCCACTCCTCGGAAGGAAGGTTGGGCAATCCTACTTCCGTAGTGATACTGCCTCGGAAACCCAAGGAGGGGTCGCTATGAGTCGGGTTTGACTCGACGGCACATAACAACAACAACAACAAACCTTCAAATAGTATAAACTGTGTGCCAGATATTGTTCTATGTAATTTATCCAGAACAGTCATTTAATCTTCACAAAAGCTCTTTGAAATGTGTTCTGTTATCATCCCCATTTTATAGATGAGGAGAACAGCAAATTCTAGTAACTTTTCCAAAAACCAAAACCAAACTCACTGTCATCGAGTCGATTCAACTCATAGTGACCGCTCCTTGGGTTTCCAGGATGATATCTCTACGGAAGTAGATTGCCCAATCTTCCTTCCAAGGAGTAGCTGGTGGGTTTGAACCCCCAGCCTTCTGGTTAGCAGTCAAATGCCTTAGGCGCTCTACCACCAGAGCTCCCCTAGTAACTTCTAGTCAGTGGTAAAACCAGGATTAGAACCCAAGCAGGCTGGCTGCAGGATCCACCTAACTGTGTCATCACTTAGAATTTAAGACCAAATGTGTGATCAACCACATCTAAAATAATGAATGACATAGAATTTATCAAATTGTGTGACATCAAGCATTATAATTTCTATATCTCACTATAGTTATAAGCAGCAAATACTTAAGAGCTAAAAAGACATAGTTATTTTGACCTTGATGAATAACATGTATAAGCTGTACAAGTCTGAAATGAATGTAGAAACAAAAGAAACCAGAAGCAGGCCCTTCCTGAAGCCAAGAATTGCTTTTTTTTGAAAATGTTTTTTTATACTGAAGAAAATAAATAAGATTGAATTGTTGGGTACATTGTATTTACAGAACAATGTTTGTGTTTATCTTCCCTTGCTTTATAGTCTATATTTGAGACTATTCCAGATATACGAGTTCATGCCAATGGATCATCAGACCCTGAAGAGAAGCCAGTTCAAAATGCAGTAAGTGGTAAGTGAGATAACCTCCAGTTGAACAGAAGCTGTGTCTTCTCTCTTTTGCTCTGGCACATAATAGAGATAGTTGTGAATTTCTAAAAGAAAAATGTGGTTTTTCTCCCCATTATGAGTCTATTACTCCTAACACTACTTTCTCCTACTCACCCCCAGACAGGGACAAAATTAATTGAGCAAAATATGAAACAGAATCATTTTCTCCCTCACTCACACCATGTCACTTAGAAACGTCATTTGGCAGAGTCTGTTTGAAATTAAGAGTAAAGAACTTTTATTAAGAGGTGGGAAAAAAAAAAAAAAAAAACTGCTGTGGAGTCAGTTCGACTCATAGTGACCCCTCCTTGGGTTTTGGAGGCAGTATCTCTATGGAAGTAGATTATCCAATCTTCCTTCCAAGGAGTGGCAAAAGCAATTTAAGAGGCAAAGCAATTTGTAAACTGATAATCACAAAGTACACTGGATTCTGAACTAAGTGGTCCAAGGAGGAGACAGTTCAGAGATTTTATATAAGAAAATATAAGGAAATTCAGTAAAAATGCAATGATTGGTTGGCACTTAAGTTATGGTTACAAAATTAGGTGATAGTATATCTGATTGATAGGAGATTACATATATATCTAAAGTTGTTTTTTTAGAAGTTAAAAAGTAATAATTAAATTAGGTATATTTGGCCTTGAGACAATCATGTGATTCCTTGTGTGACTACAGGGAAGACATGAGTAATTCTAAAGTTTATTTTGAGTAAGTATTTGTTCTGAGAATTGTTTTGGATCTGCCTTCTTAGGCAGTAAGCAAAATCTATAAGGGAACAAAATTACATTGTTTTCTGAAATTGTTTATCAAGTAATTTGCTTCGAGTACAGTGGAGAGTTACAGAAATGACAAGCAGCATTCCTGATGCAGAGGCTACTTTTGATTCAAAATGGAATTTTAGCCACAAATATACCATAGCTACCATCTCTTGTTGGGAGTCCTAAATTAATTTGGGATGTTCTTAGTAGTATCTCTGATTTGGGGTCTCTTTCACCTGAAAGTTAAAAGTAGGCCAGAAAGTAGGTCATTTCCAAGAATACCTAATTACTGCACAAATACATGCAGTGCTGGAGTGGCTCATGGCATACAGGATGACAAGGTCAGTTTATGTGACTGGGTGGACCTTGTCCATTTGGAGAGGTGGCCCTTGATGGGCTCTCTAAATAGGTTCAGCATGGAATCTCAAGCCTTCTTTATATAAAACAGACCGCTTCAGGAAATACTTTTGTAATTCCTAGAAGTGTTCCCTAACTGCGCTCTTCCTAGAAACAAGAGAACCCATACTGGCAGGGCTAGTGTCAAATTTCAGAAGAATTTGAGGTGATGAAAATGTTCTAAAATCATTGTGATGTTAGTTGCACAACCCTGTGAATACACTAAAAACCACTGAATTGTACATTTTCAGTGGGTAAATCATACTGTATATGAATTTTATCTGAATAAAACTGTTACCAAAAAAATAAAAAGAAAGAAAAAGGATTTGTCAGAAATTATTCCACATCATTCTATTTGCTGCTTTGTTTAGTTCAAATCATGCCACTGGGAGATAAAAGTCTACATGGAGAGGCCTGGTGATGTGGAGCATTGTCTGTTTAATTGTGGTTCTCTGAAGAGTCTCTCCTTAGATCTTTAATAAATTAGAGCACTATTTAATACTACCTCCCTTGGAAGGAAGGTTGGGCAATCCTATTTCCGTAGTGATACTGCCTCGGAAACCCAAGGAGGGGTCGCTATGAGTCAGGGCTGACTCGACGGCACATAACAACAACAACAACAACCCTCTGTTTTAAATAAAAGACACTGTATGAAGAGTGAAAATCATAATTCATGTCATTTTATAGCTTCTTGTTGTACCCATTCACTGTGTTTTTAATCGGAATTACTGTTTAGAATTTTTGAAATCTATTGATTTATAAATTTTTTTATATAACTTTTAGTGTAAGATTAATTAGGTAGGTCTTCTATTATTTCTGCCTTTTTTTTTTTCTTTTCCATTTTTATCCTGTCTGGTTATCTTTTAGCTAGTATCTGCTGAAGAGGGGAATAAAATAATTAAATAATTCTTTATATTGTAGATGAACACTTTTCCCAAGCAATGAAACAAAATGATAAACCAAATTCTGAATCACAAATCAGAGTTTAGTATTGCCTAAATGATTTCTGGGATTTATGTGGTTTTGGTAAAGGAATGTATTTTCTTAATTTTCAAAAATACATTGAGGAAAAACTTTTATAGGAGCCATTCAGCTCTTTCTTAATGTACATTATACAAGCTCAGGAAACCAATACTGTTGAAACTCATTGCTATTGAGTTGATTCTGACTGTCCTATAGGAAAGTTGAACTGCCCTACAGGGTTTCCAAGGCTGCAGTCTTTACAGAAGCAGATTGCCACATCTTTCTCCTGTGGAGCAGCTGGTGGGTTCAAACTGGCATCTTTTCAGTTAGCAGCCAAACACTTAACCACTATGCAACCAGGGCACCTTAACCAATATCAGGTAGCCAGTATGATTACTGATTACTTCTGAACCAACCCAGCAGTGAAATCCAAATTAAATCTGAATACATCTTTGTTGTTGTTGTTGTTGTTGTTATGTGCCGTCGACTTGGACCCAACTCATAGCGACCCCTCCTTGGGTTTCCAGGCCGGTATCACTATGGAAGTAGATTGCCCAGCCTTCCTTCTGAGGAGTGGCTGGTGAGTTTGAACCGCCAGCCTTCTGGTTAGCAGGCAAGTGCCTTAAGCACTACGCTACTAGAGCTCCTGAATAAATCTTAAGAGGCAAATATTCAAAAGTTTTGAAATAAGACTTTGGGAGGGAAAGTAGGGAGGAATTCTGGCAGAGACTCACAGCCTTTCTTCTGTTTTAAGCTTTTGGCTCCCCGTTAGCAACAAAATTGAGCACAGGTAGACTTATTTTATATCTCCTTGAGGACTAAGGTGCGCCTGACACAAGCCATGATATTTCCAATCGCCTGGTATGCATGTGAGAGCTGGACAATGAATAAGAAAGACCGAAGAAGAGTTGATGCTTTTGAGTTGTGGTGCTGGCGGAGAATGCTGGAAGTACCATGGACTGCTAAAAGAACTAACAGATCTGTCCTGGAGGAAGTGCAGCCAGAATGGTCCTTGGAAGCAAGAATGGCCAGACTTCGTCTCACCTATCTTGGTCATGTTGTCAGAAGGGACCATTCCCTGGAGAAGGATGTCATGCTTGGTGGGGTGGAGGGTCGACGAAAGAGAGGGAGGCCTTCAACGAGATGGATTGACACAGTGGCTGTGATGATGGGCTCAAGTATAGCAGGGATTGTGGGGCTGGCGCGGGATCGGGCAGTGTTTCGTTCTGCTGTGCATGGGGTCGCTATGAGTCGGAAACGACTCGATGGCACTTAACAACAACAACAACAGACTTATTTTAGTATGATAAGAATGTATAGAGATACCCCATTTTGGAAATTTCCTCTAATAATCCTCAATGACTCTCATGAGACATAAAAATATAAAATAAAAGATCAATTAAACAGAAAGTGTGTTTGGATAATGATGACAGAAATCTGTTCACATGGAAGTCTGATCACATTACATTATTGTCGTTGCCATCCTCTGGGGGAATCTGATGCTTTTCCTTGGATGCAAGCAGCCTCAAGTGCTTACAGATCACTTGTACAAGAAATTTTTTGCTTATTTTCCAATAAATGATATTGACTGATTAAATGGCATATTGAATAGTGTACATCCTTTCTTATTTTAGATGATTATTACCTGGAAAAGGATATTCCATCAGAGGCTGAAGAGCTGTCCTTTGAAATATCTTATTCAGAAATGATTACAGAGGCCTCAAAAAGAAATAAATTAAAGAAGTCAGTGATTAAGAAAGAAGACTATGCTTTAACTGTAAGTACAAACTTTTATGATAATTCTGATAACTTCTGTGACTTCTCCACAGGTCAGAACTACAGACTTTTTTTCTTTTGTTGCTTTTTTATTTCTGTGTGTGTGCTCAAGGAGAGTTTGAGGGGCAGGGTGTCAGTATTGCACTCCACCAGGGGCAGGGGCAGGGGAAGGGGCAGGGACAGGGGAGGACACGTTGTTCCGCAGTGCATAGCTTGTTTCGCTGTACATGGCAGCCCTGGGTGAGGAGGATATGTGAGGGTATATCATGAATACTGCCCAGCTTGTATACGTTCATACACTTTATATTGTCATATTACTTACAGGTCAGTGCAGACCCTAACTGTATACCTAACTGTTCCTATAAAAGTCATTCATTAAAAAAAAGAAAAATACTGCAGAAAGTCACAGTTACAGCAACAAGGAGTGAGAGCTCAAGGACAGACACTAAAGAATTATCAAAATCACGTTCAAGGTCTTATAATATTATTGCAGGAGAGGCAAATGGAGCCATATATTATCCTGAAAACCTCATTAGATATATCCAGGATATTTTATCCTAATAGCCCAATATAGGATTTATGTTACTTTGATCTATTTGCTTCTCAATAAATTCATCTTCTAAGTGCTTATAACGTGGAGCACTGAGCACTCTGTTGATCAGGGCTGGGAACATTACAAGCAGGGCCAAGGCAGTGTCAGAGCTAAAGAAACCAGTTCACCTAGAAACAGGGGCCTAGTGGCTGAGACCATGCCTAGATACCACACTGTGACAGGAACAAGTAGAGGACAGAACAAGGCCTTTGAGACACACTGAGTGCCATCTTTCTGCCTGGCACTGCACTAGATGTTCTAGCTGTACAATGGATGCTAAGAATTACTTGCATTTATAGCTACAGAGACTGAGGTCCAGAGACGCTGAGTAACATGTTCAATGTCCAGCAGGTAATAGATGGCATAAGCCATCTATCAGGAATTTAAATAATTCCTATTTAAAGGAATTAAACCAAAGTATGTCAAACTCTCAAAGTTCCTTGGTCCCTAAGCAAAATGTCTATGTGTTGGAGGGCAGAGCAGTGTCCTAGGCCCAAAGAGGAAACCCAGCAGAAGTCTAGATTCAGGAAAGGGTTTCTGAATCTTTAGAGTCATCCAAGAGTAGATGTAGGACCACAGACCTCCACATCAAAGCTGTCTCCTCTGAAGGTTGAGCTCAGTCTCAGGACAATAGCAGCTTCATATGGGAAATTTGGCAAAGTTTTTTTTTTTTTTTTCATTAAAAAAAAAACCAACCCCCACTGCCATCAAGTTGGATCCGACTCATAGCAACCCCTCCTTGGGTTTCCGAGGCGGTATCACTATAGAAGTAGATTACCTAATCTTCCTTCCAAGGAGTGGCTGGTGGGTTTGGATTGCCAGCCTTCTGGTTAGCAGTCAAATGCCTTAGGCTATGGTTTCAGAAAGAAGGTAAAATACCTCAGCATTTAATAGCACAAAGTATGCCCAACCACATTTTACAGTTTCATTTTTAGGGTTTCGAGCAATAATTGAATGGATGAATATGTGAATGAATGAGTGAACGGATGGATGGATGGATAAACAAACAAACAAAAACTCACTAAGATCAAGTTGGTTCCAACTCATAGAGAGACCCCCTTTGGGTTTCCAAGGCTGTAAATCTTTACAAAAGCAGACTGCCTCATCTTTCTTCCATGGAGCAACTGGCGGGTTCAAACCATTGACTTTTTGGTTAGCAGCCAAAATGCCTTAACCATTGTACCACCAGAGCTCCTGGATGGATGGATGGATAGTTGGATAAAAAATCCAAGGAAACTCTAATTTAGAGACACTCTATGGAAAAATATTTACTTTTAAAGTTTTGCAATGTAAATTATATGTTAAAACCAAAAAAACCAAACTCACTAGTGTGGAGTTGGATCTGCCTCAGAGCCACCTCTCCTTGGGTTTCTGAGGCAGTATCACTACAGAGAGAGCTCTGGTGGCATAGTGCCTAAGGCATTTGACTGCACCAGAAGGCTGGCAGTTCAAATCCACCAGCCACTCCTCAGAAGGAAGATTGGGCACTCTACTTTTATAGTGATACTGCCTCGGAAACCCAAGGAGGGGTCACTGGGAGTCAGATCCGACTTGACAGCAGTGTTTTTTTTTTTTTTTTAAATTTATCACTGCAGAAGTAGATTGCCCAATCTTCCTTCCGAGGAGTGGCATTTTTTAAATACCAGGTTTTCTGAAAGTAGGCATACCTGGAGATATATAGGAATAATATCACTTTCAAAGGGTCTTGCTGCTTAGATTTCTCCCCAGTGTTTCTGGATTATTGAAGGTTTGTTGTTGTTGTAGACTATTTTTTTCCTATTGTAGAAATGGAGAATGTAACAGTATCATTGTCTTCAAAATGTTGGTAGGGTTATTTGGCACTTTCAGTGCATTTTGCTTTCTGGGGAATATTTGGAATCATCTAGATTTGATTTTTAAGGTAGAATAATGGCTGTATCACTAAGCACGTGTTAGGAATTTTAAATGAGAAATTACCAGGACACTCTTAATTATGTAGTTCACAATAGAAGATGCTTAATGACCAATAAATGGAATGACTGCCCCTCACCCTCACTCTCACCACCCCTACCCCCCACAAAAACATATCTAAAGAACCTGGTATAAGAACTTGGATGATGTTGTTTTGTTTTTTGTGTGTTACAGATAATCCTGATGACCAGGGCCCATGGTACCTTCTGTGTGGTACCTGGCATTTTGTAGATGTTGGTCAGCAATAGGATAAAGTATGATGGACAAGCAGCCGTTTTCACAGTTGTGTGGGTCAATGTTGTATTATACTGTATCTATGACTACTTTTTTGCACAGTAGTGATCTTCACATATTCTAAAAATTATACTAATAATGTCCTTCTATGGTGCACCATGCTCTTCAGAGAAGTTTGGAAATCATATATTTTGCTCTATGGCTTTAGAATGTGCAGGTGACATTTCAATGAGAGGATAATAATTTTCAATTGCTGTAAAAATGAATAAATATTCACAATATGTGTTTTAGAAATTTATTGTTAAGAAAACCAGATTTGGCTTAACGGAGGCAGGAGATCTGTCTGTTGAAGACATGAAGAAAATCCGCCATCTCTCGCTGATTGAATTGACTGCCTTTTTTGATGCCTTTGGAATTCCACTGAAAAGAAACAAAACAGAAAAAGTGAAAGGGCGAGGTAAGTAAGAAGAGTAATTTCTTCTTATTTTACCACTTATTGGACATATTGGAAAAAGGTAGTACTTTTTCTGATTCTCTTTTCTTTCTCCCTTTGTTAACAAAGACAATGGCATTTTTGGAGTTCCACTGACAGTCCTATTGGACAATGATCGGAAAAAGGACTCCGGAGTGAAAGTTCCCCTTGTATTACAAAAAGTGAGTAGAATGCAAGTGAAGGAGGACTAGATGGTGCATTGTACTTATGATTTTATACTTCGTTAGTGGTACCCAGTAAGAAGTACCTTGTGGTACAAATGGTTAATGCTCAGCTGCTACCTTAAAAGTTGGAGGTTCGAGTCCACCCAGAGGCAACTTGGAGTCCTCCTGGTAGTCTACTTTCAAAAACGCAGCCCTTGAAAACCCTAGGGAGCATGATTCTACTCTGACACACATGGGGTCTCCATGAGTTGGAGTTGAGTTCATAGCAACTGGTTTTAAACCCACTAATAAATTTTCTTTTAGATTTAAAAACCAAAACCCTACTAAGACTCAGGCTTCTTGATGGTTTTTAACTTTATTCCATGTTGTTGTTGTTACGTGCCGTTGAGTCAGACCCGAGTCATAGTGACCCCTCCTTGGGTTTCTGAGGCAGTATTACTATAGAAGTAGATTGCCCAACCTTCCTTCCGAGGAGTGGCTGGTGGGTTTGAACCGCCAGCCTTCTGATTAGCAGTCAAGTGCTTTAGGCACTATGCTACCAGAGCTCCTTGTATCCCCATAAATGTCCCACAAGCACTAGGACCAATTTGCCTTGTTGTGCACTTGGAAACCTTTTACATTGTTTGACTATAAAAATAGCAGGTGCAGGAGAAGATGGGAAAGAAGGATGAAGGGAACTGGTGGGCATGGCGTGGAAGTGGAAGAGTGCTGTTGCGTTGTAGGAAAAAAATAATATAAAACAAGTATATATAAGGTGATAGACACAGATACTCTGTTCATAGCTTCCTTTGGTTTTATTTTTTTCAATGAGACATAATTTTCAATTAATGTTTTTAAATGTTGTGTTATGTGTATGTATATTTAATTAAGTTCTATGTGATGAAAGAGACCTTTTATAATCAGCAATACATTTACTGATCACGAAAATTATTACTAAGATACTATACAGGTTGGGTAAATTTAAAATGTGTATATATAATTTTATTAATTTTATGAAAAGTGATTAAGTGTAAAAATCAGTTTATTCTGGTAGTTTTCAGGCATGACTGGAAAATAGGATACATTTAGACAAAGAGAAGAATTACTGAATAGCTGCTTTGCTTCTAAGTCACAGTTTCTTACAACCAGTGATTTACATTGATTTACATAAGTGTGCATTTATTCAACAGTGACATCCACTAGCACAATTAAAATTCCAATGCTCAAACATGTCTTATTGAATTTTAAAATGAGTTTTTGGATGGAATATAAAAGTACTGACTGAGGAAATATATACTTCTTTTATTTGTACTAAAGAGTTCTGGAGAACTTGGAGAAGGATGTCATGCTTGGTAGGGTGGAGGGTCGACAAAAGAGGGGGAGGCCTTCAATGAGATGGATTGACACAGTGGCTGCGATGATGGGTTCAAGTATAGCAGGAATCGTGGTGCTGGCGCGGGATCAGGCGGTGTTTCTTTCTGCTGTTCATGGGGTCGCTATGAGTCGGAAACAACTCCACAGCACCCAACAACAACAACAACAAGGAGTTCTGGTTGCACAGTGGTTAAGGCATTTGGCTTCTAACCAGAAGGTTAGCTATTTGAGCTGCTTAGCCACTCCCCAGGAGAAAGAGAAGGCAGTCTGCTTCCATAATGATTTATGGCCTTGGAAACCTAGTTCTGCACTGTGCTTGAGGGTCATATGAGTCAGAATTGACTCGATGACTAGCTTTATTTGCAGTAACACTTCTATATCTCTTCTATCTTCCTGTATTTTGTATACCAATGCCTCCAAATAAGCAAGTGCTCAATTCAGTGACTGACTGGCTTGTGATGGGAGCAGGGCGGATGGCACCCAGAGAATCGGGGTGCTGGTGCTGGGCCTTTGTGTGCAGGTGCCACAGCAGAGGCTGTGCTGGGGAGTCCACACAGTATCATGCGTTGTCAGCACTGTGCAGTCCAAGGACGTTGGTGTTATCATTTCCATTGTACTTAGGAAGCAACTGAGACACGGGAGAGGTGGGTAACTTATCCAAAGACACAGCCACTGGAGTGGAATCAGGAGTAGAGTATCATGTGAGCCAAAATCCATGATGACGTGAAGAGGTTTTTTTTTCCTGACTTGAATTAAAACCTGAATTATGTCCTTTATTCTCTATGTAAAAGACAGTTTGAAGAAAATCCGTGAAATCTTAGACTGAGAAGATTCAGTAGAGCAATTTCTAGCACAGAACATAGCAAAGGGAAGGTGTTCAATAAGTGCTAATTAAATTAAAACTGAAATAATTTCACATCGGCAACAACTCAATAGATGTTAGCTCTTATTACTACTGATATTGTGTTCCACATAAGGACAACCTGAGTACAAATCTTCTCCTGTGCACTAGTCTTTATATAGCCATTCTGCCTTCTCAATATCTATTTTTCTTTATACTTAGTTCCAGCCAGCATTATTTCTTTTCTTTCTTTTTTTTTTTTTTTTAACTGTGATTTGGGTGAAGATTTACAGAGCAAATTCACTTTCCATGCAGCAGTTCACATACACTTTGTCTCATGACATTGACCACAGTTTACCACAATGCAACAGCTCCCCTCCCACTTCCTCCCCATAGTTACCTCTTCCCAGTGTCCATCCCTCCATGCACTCCTGCCCCCTAAGCTGTCTCCCTGTGCATAAGCAGCCCTTATTTCTCCCATGATTGTTCTCTCCAAGGACCCTGAGGTAAATGTTCAACTCATATGCCTGTCTTTTCAGCCAGCATCATTTCTTAAAGGGAAAATAGCAAAGACCATGGATCCTGTTCTTACTGTGTGACCTTGGCAAGTTATGTGCCTTAATATCCTCAGTGTTTCAATGAGAATAATAATAGTACCTAAACTGACTTTAGAATTAATATGAGGGTTGAATGAGTGAATATATGTAAAGTACTAAGAACAGTATCTGACACACACTACCAAACCAAAAAACCAAACTCATTGCTGTAGAGTAGGATTCAACTCATAGCGACCTCTCCTTTGGTTTCCGAGGCAGTATCACTACGGGAGTAGATCCTTCCAAGGAGTGGCTGGTGGGTTTAAACTGCCAGCCTTCTGGTTAGCAGTAAAATGCCTTAGGCACTGTAAATATTAGCATTTATTGTTATTTTTACCACCATTACCACCTGAAACCTCATGAGAGAGTGACCTCTACAGTTCCTAACTCCTTTGTGAGACTCCTTGGATTCCTGTGTTTCTTAGCCAGGATGAGTGTAACTAATGATAGTGAATCTGTAATCTTTTCTTATTGGTCAGTCTGCACAAAGAGACATGATAATCAGATCTTAAAGTGGTTAAGTGGTAACATATTTGTCAGGAATGCTAGCTGGAGAGAGTCAGTGCCTTCACTTACTAGGTTGCTATTGGAAAGTTATATCATAGCTATAAGCTTCCATTTCCTCATTGCAAAGTGGAAGATAATGTTGACTTCATGGGATGGTTGTGAACAGTTAACTAGGCATTAAAGTACCAGGTGCATGCTTGGCAACTTAATCAGTTGTGGTCATCATCCTTTCAGATGGAGGTATTCATTTATTTATATCTATCATTGCTTTCTAGTTTTTTGAGAAAGTTGAGGAATCGGGGCTGGAATCTGAAGGAATTTTTCGACTTTCAGGATGTACCGCCAAAGTCAAGGTACTGAACATTTTCTCTCTTCCTAGAAATTCAAAGTTAGCTTAACAGTACATACAGACATCAGCTATCTAGTCACATGGTGTTTATTTGATACTATGTCCTGGCTTTACTTAGTGTTCCTCAGTATCCTAAGATTAAATGTTTATCCATGATCCTGAGTTCTATATCCTTTCAAGATAAATTTAAAGAACAGTAACACAAAACAACACATTAATTCACCATCAAAAATTACTACTTTTTCTAGTTTGAGAAAGTTGAAATGTCCCCTCACTGTTTTCAGGGCTCAACATTTTAGGTATCCATGTTCTTTTCTATCATATAATTCATTAAATGAGTATTATATGAGACCTTATTTCCATTATTAGTAGCATTCAACTTAGAAACATTCTTTGGCTCTCCTTTTAATATATCTATGTTTTCCATATAGGAATTAGTAGCAATGATCATAACTACTAGGATACCCGCTCAGCAATTATAAAACCCAATTCCATTTAGTCATGTTAGCTTCCACAAATAAAACACCCCATGCAACGTGAGGGCGCGCTGGTGATGTAGTGCCTAAGGCACTTGACTGTTAACCAGAAGGTTGGTAATTAAAACCCACCAGCCACTCCTCAAAATGAAGGTTGGGCAATCTACTTCCATAGTGATACTGCCTCAGAAATCCAAAGAGGGGTCACTATGGGTCGGATCTGACTCATGGCACCTAACAACAACAACATGCAATGAATCTCTACTTTCTTCCTTCTAGAAAGTAGCAAACTCTACCACAAATAAAAAGACCATGAGAAAAGAAAAGCTTTTCTCATAAATTTCCATCAAAATATACCACTGAATCTACCAGTGGGCCTACAAAATACATATCTTATCCATACCTTTAATTGCCGTGGCCGTGCAAGCCTGAGAAGTTTACATGATGCATCCCTGAGCAAAAGTCTCAGAGTGAGGGAAAAATTAACGCAGCTAGGTTTAGAACTATTAAAACGGAATGTGTAGAGGTGGAAAAGCATTTGTTCATTAATTCATTTTGGTACATGTTTTGGGTAATTCTATTTGTATCAGAATTCTAAGAGTTTTTATATAGAAGTGTGACGAGATGTTTTTCTAAATGGAAAATGAGATGAAATAAACTGTGTCATATGAGAGGGAGTGAAGCATCAAAGAAAGTTGGATTTCAGGGATAAGACGGAAAAAATAAAAGGGGGAGGCGGCAGCACTGCAGGGAGCAACTTAGAGCATGGTGTGGGTCTGACAACTCCTCTGCACGATCCCTGCTCTGGCAGAAAGGGTCAGGCCTGGCACACACACAAACACACACACATACCCTTCCACACTTGCTTGGCTGGTCTTCCCTTGGAGAGCATAACTCCAGCTCAAATGCTGAGGCAGATCCAGAAGGCACCGGGAGAGTCAATCACCTGCACTATTTGCAGCTGAGTAGCAAGATCTTTTTGAAGGGGGATGTGAGGATTGCACCACAGCTTTCCCAGTGGCTGCAGGGATGGGGCATGCTAAGGAGTTAAGTATTGTTGTTGTTGTTATTTGCCCTCCCGACTCATAGCAACCCCTCCTTGGGTTTCTGAGGCGGGCTCTTATATATACTTCTGAATAAATGCATCCTAAATCTGAAGAGAAAGCTCTCACTGGTTTTGGTTAAATCTTTGGTTATATCTATAAAGTCAGAGAACTAAAATAACATCATGGAAAATAATTTCCTAAACAGATCACACCCCATCCCACTAAGCCTCCTTCCATAATGGAGAAGCTGTGTCTGCACATATCTTACTGGGTGTGTGTGTGTATATGTGTGTAAAGCATAACAGATACTTAAAATCCCCTTTCTAAATAATAAAAGGAGAAAATAGAAAACATTACATAGTAGTTCTTGAGGGCATAAAGTTTAACCGTCATAAGAAGTTATTTTTCACTGGCTAATCTTTGAAAAATGTCTGTCAAAGTGCTAGATGCTGTTCTTATGTGCATATGCATTCCTGAATAAACCATATTTAAGTGAAATTCTCTTTTCCTCTCTAATCAGTTATGTAGTTTCAGCCTAGTTATTCCATCACTTGTTTGTCAGAAAAATGAAATCCAGATGTTTCCATTGTTTGAGCTTCAGGAAAGAAAATGTGAAAGAAATCTGGGACAGTGAACAGAAACAGGAAGATGTTGCAATTAGAATGGAATTGTAACTTGATATATTAAATAGGTCTTTATTTCTCTCCTTAGTTCAAACTTTACTTTTGTGTGTGTGTATGTGTGTGTGTGTGTGTATGTGTAATTTCATCTGCTAAACTCTTTTTCCCTAGTAATGTTCTTGGAGAAAGACAGTTTTTTAGAATTGTGGTGAGTAAAGGGCACTAGCCCTGTGACTCCTCGAATGTATCATTATCAATAATCAGATGTGGGTTTGTGCTTTACAGGCTTGGTAAGAATATCAGAGAAGCAACACTGATAGGAAGCTGCTAGTTTCAGTCAAGCAGGAGACACACAACTGTGGAACTCCTGTGTTTGAGGCCTCAACATTTGGAAGCAATTTGATACCTTCTTGTTTCCAGTGATTTGATTTTCAAAAAATGACAGAAATTTAAGTCAAACACTTAGGGCATATGTATTACAGAAGAAGGTAGACTGTTTGACTTATAAAGCTTTCTTCTTTGACTAGTTTCAGTTATTCTAAATCTAGGATAGATGTTTTATAATTGTGTTACCTGGTTTGTTGGTTTCCACTCCTGAACTGGTCTTTGAATCTGGAAGCTGGTTATTTGCATTTTTATAACCCTACCTCAGAAATTGAAGAGGTTGTATTTTTGCTTAGAGGAGATACAAGTGCATGGCTTCTGACCCTTGTCTAGTGTACTCACTAACATTGGGCAGAAAACATGCTTTCTTTAACCTCCATACTCTCCCTGTCTTTGACAAGGTAAATTCAACACCTGGCTTATATAGGTTCATGTTTAGTAACACCACTGAAATGTTAGTCCTGGCCTGATCAAAACAAAGAGAGGACACTCTTTCTATCCATTTCTTTTACACTAGCTAACCAGACAAGATGAAGTGATATTATTACCCAAATACCTACCCCACATATGTGTTGGTTCCCCACAACATTAGTGCTAAGGTTATAACAGAACTAGGAGGAGGAAAGTAGTGATCAGTTGGCATTTGAGTACTTACTATTCTGTGAGCTTTATATACATCATCTGATTTAATCTCTGTGAGGTGGTTTTACCATCTGTATGATACACCTGGGAAATTTGAAGCATAAGCCATACAACTGATCAGCTGTGGAACTGGGATACTGATCCAAAGAGCCTGGTTACAGAAGCTGCCCTTGGCCCTCTTACATGACAGGGAACCACTGGCAGGTTTGAAGGATGGTCACATTAGTGTTTCAGATGAATTATTTTGGCAGAGGCATGTGAAAATGATTTTAATTATTCTGTTCTTGCTAGTGCTTCCTGTTCACATGAAAAATAATTCTCCTCTACTTTACAACAGTGGAAACAAGCAATGGATAGAAAAGTTTGCTTCTCTCACTCTACTTCCTACTGTCTTTACAATCGTCCATTTGCCCATTATCCCAGGTAGAACTCTAGAATCACCTTGGACTGTTACTTCTTTCTCTGAGTCTCATATTTAACCCATCACTGATTTCTGAGAATTTTTCCTCCAAGATATTTCATAAATAATTCATCTCCTTTCCTTCTTAAAACTGCTTGTGGTTAGTTTTTCATTATCTGTCCCAGAAGTGCTGCCATAACCTACAACCAGTTTCCCTACCCCTGTCCTATTATGCAGTCTTATGCTGAGCAAGTAATCCGAGAAGCTGAACTGTATGAAGAAGAATGCAACATTAGGATTGAAGGAAGACTTATTAACAACTTGAGATTTGTAGGTGACACAACTTTGCTTGCTGAAAGTGAACAATACTTGAAGCACTTACTCATGAAGATCAAAGACTATAGCCTTCAGTATGGATTACAGTTCAGCATAAAGAAACTAAAATTCTCACAACTGGACCAATAAATAGCATCATGATAAACGGAGAAAAGATTGAAGTTGTCAAGGATTTCATTTTACTTGGATTCGCAGTCGAATCCATGGAAGCAACAGTTAAGAAATCAAATGATGTAATGCACTGGGGAAATCTGCTACAAAAGACCTCTTTAAAGTTTAAAGAGCAAAGATGTCACTTTGAAGACTAAGTTGTGCCTGACCCAAGCTGTGGTAGTTTTGATTGCCTCAAGTGCATGTGAAAGTTGAACTATGAATAAGGAAAACTGAAGAAGAATTGTGGATGGCCATATTAGTGTTTCAGATAGATTATTTTGGCAGAGGCATGTGGAAAATGATTTGAATTGTGGATGGCATCAGGATTGGAAGAAGACTCATTAACAACCTGCAATACACATATGACACAACTTTGCTTGCTGAAAATGAGGATGACTTGAAGCACTTACTGATGAAGATTAAGACTACAGTCTGCAGTATGTATTACACCTCCATATAAAGAAAACAAAAATCCTTACAACTGGTTCAATAACGATTCACACTGGATAGAGAAAAGATTGAAGTTGTCAGGGATTTCATATTACTTGGTTCTACAATCAAGACCAAAGGAAGTAGCGGTCAAGACATCAGACGATGTATTGCATTGGGCAAATCTGCTGCAGAAAATGTTTTCTTGAAGACTAAGGTGCACCTAATGCAAGCCATGGTATTATCAATCTTCTCTTAAACATGTGAAAGCTGGACAATGAATAAGGAAGACCAAAGAAGAGTTTATGCTTTTGAGTTGTGGTGTTGGAGAAGAATGCTAAGAGTACCATGGTCTGCTAAAAGGACTAACAAATCTGTCCTGGAGGAAGTGCAACCAGAATACTCCTTGGATGAGAGAATGGCCAAATTTCATCTCACCTACTTTGCTCATGTTGTCAGAAGGAACCATTCCCTAGAGAAGGATATCATGCTTGCTAAGGTGGAGGGTCAGTGAAGAAGGGGAAAGCCCTCAATGAGATGGATAGACATAGTGGCTACAGCGATGGGCTCAGGTATGGCAAGGATCATGAGGCTGGCACAGGACTGTGCAGTGTCTCATTCTGCTGTGCATAGGATCGCTATGAGTTGGAGATGACTCGACAGCACCTAATAACAATAAGAAAGAAGAACTGATGCATTTGAATTACGGTGTTTGTGAAGAATAGTGAATGTTCCATGGACTTCCAAGAGAATGAACAAATCTGTTTTGGAAGAAGTACAGCTGGAGTGCTCCTTATAAGTGAAAATGGCCACTTTTTCTCTTATATTTTGGTCGTGTTATCAGAAAGGACCACGTCCTGGAGAAGGATTGCATGCTTGGTAAATGTAGAGGGTTAGTAAAAAAAGGGAAGCCCCTCAACAAGATGGATTGATACAGTGGCTGCAACAATGGGCTCAAGCATGCCAATGACCAGGCAATGTTTCATTCTGTTGTATAGAGAGTCTCTATGAGTTGGATCCTACTTGACAGCACCTAACAACAACACCTGCTCCCCAGACAGTGCCCAGCTCCACACTTTCCAAATCATTTTTTCCATCTGCCCGTCAGAAAAGATCAATCTAACCTTGTCATTCCCTTGCATAGAGACTTTTCATGCAGCCTCTTTACCTACAGAAAGATCTGTTGTTTCCCTAGTCTCACTCATCCTTCTCTCTACTGTCTCCCTTGCCCAAGATGCTCTAATAACACTGATGTGATTGGAGTCCCCAGACACACTGGATTTCCTTGCATTTGTATCACTACTTGAGCAGTTTCTTTGGCCTCAAAACACATTTTGTTTCCTCTTCCCCTGGCTTGCCTCCTCATCAATCCACAAGACTTGGCCTCAGCAAAGTTTAGTTTCCCTCTATCAAGGATGTATAGCACTCCATACAAGAACTTTTATATAACATTTAACCCCCCAAACTGCCAAATCAGCTCATGAAACAGTCCCCTCTACTAGACTGCAGGACCCCGAAAGGCCGAGATTGTGTCTCATGCACTTTGTCTACCCAGAGCCCCTCCCAGTCCTCTACAGACTCTCTCACTGAAGAGAGGGCATTAAATACTATAATACTTTATAAAGTTTATTTATAAACAGTAAATGATTGTTCAATTGACTATATTATTCCTGTTAGATTGAAAATTTCTCAAGGACAAAAAGAAAATCTTACTAGTATGTCACCAGTAGGAGCTGCTGAGGCTGCTCAGAATCACATGTGTCTCTTACACATGGGGTTTGTCCTGGCAGAACCCCCTGTTTTGCAAACTTTGGGAACCATGAGAATGTTTATGCCTGAGCAGGTTAATGAGCTAATCCTTTGCAGGAAAAATCATATTTTAAAATTAACTCTGAGTGAGGACGGTCAAGGCTGGAAGAATTAGGCTTCTCTTGAGAATAAAGCATAGACCTTAAAGAAATGGAGTGTTTTCAGAGTTACCTTTCTAAGTCACTATCCTTTCTGGAGCAGTTAATATCATTTGGGGAGTTGACTACACCTGCCTGGTAAGTTGTTTCAAGGGAGAGCAGTAAAAAATGAATTTGACTTTGAAAAAGAAACATGGAGAATAGGTGGCATTGATAATCAGATGAATTAATAATGTAAAATTTTTAAGCCAAGTAAAACTTAAGAAGGTTCAGTGATTTTTTTTTTTCTCCTTTCCAAGTATTTCCACACTTGAGGAAGGTTTGGTCAAGCAGGCAAACATGTGAAATGCATGCATGTGTATGCCTTGTCATGAACGTTTGCTGTGGCTGCTCCAGGAATTCTATATATTGTAGTGAGGTCAGACTTTCTCTCTGTTGGGATAGTTCTCATTCTACATATGAACTAGCTAGGAGACATGCTTTCTTGATCAAATTTAGAAATAGAAGACGGACTGTGGCGGAAGAGATCGTGAACAACGGGAAATGTAGGCTTTGTCAAAATCTAGCGGTACCTTTATTATGTGGGAATAGATGGCATCCTGCCAAAGCCACAGAAAGGAAACTATGATCTCAGTAAAGAACTTTTATTATATTTGTGATAATTATCAAATTAGTTAGAGATTACCATTCTAAAAGTATTTTATAAACAGTTTTTCAAAATTCACTGAGAAAAAAATTAATTCATTTCTTTTAATAATATTGAAAAAAGTGGACTTACTAGAGATTAGCTTTTCAAGAATTCAATCCATTTACAAAAATAGTTTATGTAATGACAGTTTTCAAAGTGGTGAAAAGGGGTCACTTTGTAAAAGCTTATTGCATATTGACTGTTTTCCTTGATTTGCAGCAATACCGTGAAGAACTAGATGCCAAGTTTAATGCTGATAAATTTAAATGGGACAAAATGTGCCACAGAGAAGCTGCAGTAATGTTGAAAGCATTTTTCAGAGAACTACCTACTTCTCTCTTCCCTGTGGAATATGTACCTGCCTTCATCACTCTAATGGAAAGTAGGTAGAAGAAGTTAAGTGTGAATGGACTAAGATGTAAGGTCAATAGAGTGACACAAAGCAGAATAGAGATGCATAATCAGATATGCTCATAATGGTATAAATTTGCTATTTCCTGGAAGTGCCTGGTGAAATATTGAGTTTCATGGTAAAAAGTCACCTTTTTATGTATTTATATATCGACGTCTGGAAGTCAATTTCGTCTGGAAGAGGGTTTCATAATCGTTAAAAGGAAGCAGGCATTTATAGAAAGACCAGGCACTTGAGGTTTGATTTCTTGCTCAACCATTAGCCATGCAATCAACCTTTCTGAGTTTCAATTACTACACCTATAAGTAATAAGTTATAATTACTTGTCAGCGTTGTTGTATGTATTAAGTAAGCCATGTAGAATAGTGCCTAATGTATAGTAGCTCCTCAGACAATATGAGCTCCCTCTATCTTAACTCTAAGGTCCTTAGTCTGATGATGTAGTTCTAAATAAATGCTATGCGGAGGATAATTTGTCTTTGAAAATTATAATATCACAATATTTGTGGAAACTATAACAATGTATAAGGGTGCTTGGGTAAAAACAAAGACTGGAAAATGCATTCACTGTGTTTGACACTGAATAATTTGGTGTGGTTTGTACATCAGAGATGAATACTGTGGAGAGTGTGACAAGAGAAAAATTCAGGAAAATAGACTGGGATTTGACCACTGACCTGAGTTGTTCAGGAGTTGCAGTCTAAATATATACATGTGTGTAAGTATTGAGTGATCCTACATGGACAGAAAAGGGCTATGGCAAACTTGAGAGGAAATATGCTGTCTTTTCTAAACAGACCAGCCACTGTTCAGCTTTAGCTAATGGTTGCCATGCAGAACTGGGAATCAAATTCCAGACTGTAATGCAAAAACTCTTAATTTGAAAAAGTCAGCCACAGTTTTAAAGCATAAATGTGAACCTAACAAATGATACATGTATCTGCCGGTTTATAACCTTTACAGGTTGATCAGGAATCATTTAAAGCCACAGTGAAAGAAAGTAGTAGTCAGATCCTCAGTTGTATGACAGAATTCATACTAAAAGTTGTAGGTTCTAAATCTATAAAATTTTTAACTAAGCCAGACCCAAAAATAATCCTTTGTGTCTTGAAAGAAGAGAATTTAGGCAAGACAGGTCTTTTCTAAGTTTCAGTTCACATGCTGTCTATGACCTATGTCTCTTTTCTTTGTATGATTTTGTATTTTCCTTTTATGAGAGAAACTGGAAGAGAAAGTGAGAAGAGCTAGTTCCTTTCATTAGTTTTATTTAAGATATTGTTATTTTCAATTCTAAAATTCCCAATTGGTACTTTTAAATATTTTCCATTCATCTGCTGGGATGTCTTATCTTTTCATTCATTACAAGCATGTCTCCCTTTGCATTGTTGAGCATAGGTGAGCTGCTTCAAAATCCTCATCTTCTAGTTCCAGCATTTAGTCATCACAAAGTTAATCTCTGTTGATTATCTTTTCCCTTGAGAATGGGTCACACTTTCATGTCATTTTGTATCGTGAATATTGTGTTTTAGAGACTCTAGATTCTGTCATTTTTCTTCCATGAGTGTTTTGAGGTTGTTCTTGTTTATTTGCTGTATTTTTTAAGTAGACAATTTACTTAAGTGTGCAGCAGCCCAACTCTCCATTCAGTGATTTCATGCTGTGCTACCGTATGCATGGTTCTCTGGGTCAGCCAGAGATTTGGGTGGAGTTTATGCTAGAAGTTAAACCAAAATTAGAGGACTTCCCTTTCTGTCTACCTTCTGGGATTCCCCCCATGGCTTTCCAATGCCTATGATTGCTCTGAGCCATGTACTCTGAATGTTCAGGCCAGAATAACTGGGATTTATTTTGGAATTTTAGCCACCATTTATGGCAATGATTGTTTCCTAATCTCAGAGTAAAAGCTAAAAAGATGAGAAAATCTCCCTGTTCCATTCCCTAATTCTAAGTGTCCAATCTCCTGATTTTATTTACTCACCATTGGCTCAGGCAACTGTTGTTTTTTTGTTGTTGTTTGTTTGTTTGTTTGTTTTATTAGGATTTGGGTGAAGATTTACAGAGTAAATTCACTTTTCATACAGCAGTTCACATATACTTTGTCGCATGTCATTGACCAAAATTTACAATGCAGCAGCTCCGCTCCCACTTCCTCCCCATAGTTACCTCCTCCCAGTGTCCATCCCTTCATACTCTACTGCACCCTGAGCTATCTCCCTGTGCATAAGCAGCCC